TGTTTAATTTTTGGGGGGAACCCGGAAGATGGAGGGGGGGATAACGTTAAACGAAGTTTCAACTTCAAGCGGCCTTATACAATGATATTTTTATCCCTTAAACCGTTTTGCAGGCAAATTTGCCTGCAAATTTTTGATCAAAATTGTTTTGCTAGAACAACTTACGTAAATCACTATGTCAACCTCAGTAATATTAATACTGGGCATACTACTTGCGTTGAGCTTTTAGCTGATACTACTTTTAACCATTTGAATAACATCCTGCTTTTATTTTCTCTTTAGCTTTGTGAAATAGCCCCCGCAAAAGCCAAGTTTATACTTCACTCGAGATGCTCTTGGTGATCATTTAAATACATGACTTTAATGGGGGTAAATATGCGCAATTATTGGATAAATTTTTGCAGGCAAATTTGCCTGGATCAACTTACGGTTTAAGGATATTAATTTCAAAATGGCTTCTATATATATTAAAATGATATGCAATGCTCGTGAAATCATGAGGGTGATACGTAATGCACTACTATATGATAATATGGTCTAAATTACTTTTGTATACCCTGTACAATAAGCATAAAATTATAAATTCGAAAAAACATTAATTTTATGATAGTAATGCAAAAAAAAAACTTTAATATTAATTATAATAAAACCAAATCTTAAATCTTAACTATGAAGGATTTTCAAAAAAGAACCTTTTTGATTTTAATCACAAAGGATCTTCAAACACCTCAATTGAGACAAATAGGTTTTGGCCTTGAAAATCACACAAAAATAAACCTGAGTACCGGTTCATGTTTATATGTTAATCGTCTTTACATTTATTGATCAATAGTTATTCGATAAACTGTTGAATAAATAAAGATAAAAGATGATTAACATATAAACACGAACAGATACCCGAGTTTGTTTTTTGTCTGAATTAGCCCGATCGGAAATGTCAGGTGATTTTCAAGGAAAAGATCCCAAATTCGTAATTAAAATGATCAACTGAATCGTCATTTCGATAAGTAAAACAAAAAAAAACAAAAACAAAAAAAGGTGAGACAATATGAATCTTAACAAATTGTTATAAACTTTGATCAATGCAACATCTGGACAAACTATTAATGTGATGATTGAGGAACATCTCGATAAACAGCGGATTTGATTTACGGTAAGTTACCATTTTATGGATATTTTGTACATGCCATTGTACGTTAATACAAAATTCTGTAACATTAAAAAAGGAACGCGTATTCCACTTTCAGAAATCTATAGAATTGATAGAGGTTTTATCGTAAGAGATAGACCAAAAAGAGCAAGTTCTTTGCAGCGCTTTTTGATCATCAATAATCACTATCATGATGAAACCAAGAATTTATACTTTTTATGATTAAGACTCAATTGATTTGTCATCAATTAACGTTAACAACTTTCCAAGACTTCCTGTTATATTTCTTATTTTAGCAGTATAATAAATCTGTAATATAATCTATAGATAAGAGTCTTTTGATGTATGATCATTGGAAAAGCAATTAAAAAAAAAATCCTGTAAATCATAAAACAATACTAACAATAAATTCTAAAAATGTAATAAATATCCAGAATCAATTCATTTCGGCCATTCAGAACATTAAGTTCATCTTATCGATCATATCTCACATATTGAAACAGACATGGATGCAAATTCAGTTTCTTTAGATGTTACTGCCAACTCTGAATTAAACGTTAGCAATAGTTGTAGTGACTTAAAGATTGAAGTTGTTGAACCCGTTGCAAGTTCAGTTTCTATAAGTATCACTGAATTAAACGTTGGAAATAACACTGAAACTAACAATAGCGACAAGAAGGTCGTAACTGACTTAGAAGATGACAAGATTGAAATTATTAAACCTACTACGAATTCAATCTCTAACGTTGGAGAAACTGGCTATAGTGACACTGAAGATTATAGTAATTCCTTAGAAAAGCTGATACAAATGATATACTCTAATGAAGATACACCTCCCACCAAATTAGAATGCATGAATCTTATTATGCCAGAACTAACTAAAGAAGTGTCTGAGAAATTCTTAGACAAACTCTTCGAATTGGAAAGCATTAATCCTGAAGTAAAATTTAAAGTAGACAGAATAAAACTTATGGATTGGCTTAAAAATATTTGTTTCACTACCAAGAGCATACATATTACAACAACAAAATCTGCATACAGCTATGTTATACATATGATGG